GCCTAGTATACTGGGTGTGCTCTACATAAGACTTAATTGGAACTAGACATAAAGCTAGAGTATGGTGGAGGAACAAACCTATGCCCTCTTATGTTTTAGAGGAGAGCTGAATTGTTTAAGAACTATCAAAGTGTTCCAAACGATAGGGCCATGAAAGGCTCTTCTGTCAGCGTTTTTGATTACTCCCCCCCCCCCCGCCTTGTGCCTCTTTCAGAGCCTGGGGATGGAAAAGAGGCTAATTAAGCAGCTGAAATTAATCAGCTTCTTCCACATAATGTTCAGACCAAGTAAAAAGTACGGCATCTTTGTTTTTTTCCAATTTGGTAGTGACTTTTCAGAGTTGCAGGCAGGCTAGATTGCATGTACGTATTGTTGTTTTGTAATAAGAAACATCAGGAAAAAGGTAGATGTTGGCTGAAGTGAGGTGGCTAGAGACAATGACAGTATAGTCATCATTACTTATATTTCCTGTATGATAAACCAGTTTATCTGAAAGCAGTTGGTACTATACATCATTCATATGAGCTTATGAGATGGTTATTATCGTTAATTGGAAGGCTATGATTTTTTTGCAGTGACTATGTTGATTCACTTGTTTAACTTACTGTCTTGTTATGTTTCAATATAAACTGGCTTACATGTGACAAGCATTTTGATAGTTGTATGTATCACTGTCTTGAACACTGCAGTAAGATGCCACACTAATTCTGCCAAACCTGGAAGGGAATAACAAAAAACTTGGTTAGTAGGAGTGCTTAATAAATAAGGCTTTTTAGATACTGCTTTTTAAAACATTAAGATAGTCCAGTATAAACAAATTTAAAGTAGATAATGGTTGCAACCTCAGCATTGTATGATCTCTCTCTGTTCATGAAGCGTGAAAAAGTTTATTAGAAATTACTACAAGAGTAAGTGCATTCGTGGTAAGAAACACTGTCATTTGCTCTGAAATATAAAAGTGGTGGAATGTTCCAGTTTTAAATTTGTCGTGAATTTTTGTTGTGGTCTCTGTATTTGATAATGCACTTAATCACATTCATTGTAGGAACACTGTTAGCTGTCTTAATCTCTTTAGTAGGCTGGCTTTTGTCACTCGTGTTGATATTTCTGTATTAGCTTTCTTGTAGTTTAAAGTAGGCACTGATCTGAATGCTTACATGACTGAATTATGCCATTAAATTGTGAGCTTGTAGGTATTGTCTAGGACTGTTGGCATTTTGTACACACTCAAATGTAATAAAATTTGTGTGGTGATCTGTTAAAATACTTACGACTTCTCTTTTGTAAATAAAACTCATTAACAAAGACTATCTAGCAGCATATAAATTTCTCTTCTAGAGTGGTGAGAATACCCAGCATCTGGTAAATTACTTGGTAGGATTAACTGGAGTACTTTCCTAATAATATGCTCCAAACTTTGTTCTGGCATTTCAGCATGGAGCTGCTGTGCCTTTGGGGGATATTCACAAGAAGAGTGAAAGTTCCTACTTATCAGAAGGACCTATGTATTTGTAGTGCCCAAGACTGCAAAATGGGCATTGCTTTTTAATATATGATGAACTTCTCACATTAAACTCCATAAAAGTAAGAAAATCTCCCTCATTTCTATCCATATAAAGCCATCCATCTCAGAAACTGTCACAGTATTTTCTTCAGCAGATTTTTATATAAGTAATTCCCTTACATAACTTCCATACGTATCAGTTTAAGAGCTTGGTTCAAGTCAAACAGTTGTGTACTTGCTTTTGTGTAGATGAATGAAGATGTCTTATCAAGGTTTTCTTTCTTCACATGTTCCAAACATTGATTACAAAGTTTGTCTAGCATACAAAAATGGGGTGGGGTGGGGTGTGTGTGTGGTTAGTGGGTCTTTTCCTGGAAATTTTCACCAAAGCTAAGGGTAAAAAATAGGTATGGCTATTCTGAAGTAAGTGTTCAGAATTGTCTTGAAAGTGATTTGTCAAAAACGACTTGAATTTGCAGTGTGTGTAGGGTACTGAATGTAGTATTCCTCTCTTGTGTGGTGCTTTTTTTTACGGTTCTCAAGGTTTAGTATTTTACAGATGACTTAAGGAACTGGAGAAGGAATGTGACCTGAGGCTTGAGCATGCATGGGGTCTGTAGCATTGAAATCTACTTGTAAATCCTTGTGATGCACTATGGTCAGCACACAAATGTGAAAAGAACAGGCGCAAAACATTCTGTAATGGCTATGTCAAACTGTAGTACTGCTTCCCTTCAGATTAAGACAATCTTTTCCTCATTTTTTTGTGTTTGTATGCTGCCGTGTTGTGAACTTACTGAACAGTTTCAGTATCATCTGAAACTTCAAAAGATGATGACTTCCATATACACTTACAGAAGGTGTTAGTGACTTTTTTAATATATCAAAATCATCTGGATGTGCTCTATCAGGTTTTCAGTCTTGCATTTTTTTTATCCTGAGCTGTTAAAAAGTGGGTGGTATGACTGTAGTAGGTTTTATTATTAAGTTATTAGATATAATGATGTGACTATTGAATGAATGATGTTTGCAGTATGTTTCTGGGACTTGATGGCCTTCGTCTCAGGTGGTGTGATCTCTATCAGCTTGACAGCTGGTTATTTTTGTACGTGGTATCTGAGTGTCTATAATGGTTTCTGGTGAGGGGGGAGGGGTGTTGTAAGGGTGTAAACTTTGAGGTTCTCTGGTAACTACAGCTTTTGTAGATTGGGCATCTATAAAAATTGAATTAGGTATTTTTCTTGACAACCTGTTTCAGCTTTGGGTTCTGAAGGAGTTTTGCAAGGCATAGTAATTACTGTTTTGTAAGTGATACAAATCTGAATAACTAGAAGCTGTAAATGGCCAGTTGAAACAAATAGATATTATGCAAGTTAAATCAGTCTTGCCTGTTTTTCCTATCATACCTCCTTTTGCTCTCAATATGGGAACCAGCGAGCAAAAAAGTAGTCATAGCGAGTAACCAGTGTAGTGGGTTCATTTCCTCACTGTGTGTCATCTAGAAGTCACTTGCTCCAAAGAGTACTAACTCGCATGGTCGTTGGATGTAGTCCTTATGTCTTTATTAATGCTGCAGAGTCTAGAAAAACATGGGATGAATTAAGAGTAAAAGGTTTTAAATTATTTCCTGGTTATCCAAGCACACTAGAATGCTACAGCAAACAGATGTATTTCATTTTAAAACAGAAGTAACTTAATTGTCTTCATTACTTTTCCAAAGGAAGAGATAAACAAATGACTAACAGTATTCTGAGCTACCTATATTTTGGCTATGCCTTGCTGCTTTCTCTCTTGCAGTATTAAGGAGAGATTAACTGTTGTCACTGATCATCGCGAGTGGGGCGGCGGGGGGGGGGGGGAGAGTCTTGCCTGAGAACCAACACACCAGCTGTGCATGAATTGTTTTATGCTGTAAGGATGAAAGGTCTGGTATTTTTAAAATAACTGCATCCATTCCTGTATTCTAAAATATTCAACCAAAATTAATTTAATGAGTAAGAATTTTAGTATGTAATTATCACGGTACTTAATAATAATGGTGGTGAGATACGCAGGGGCTTTTTTGGTTCATAGAAACATTTTTTCACTGTGGTACACTTTCACACATTTGTAAGAACATATATCTAAAGCTTGATATTAGATCATGCTGTGCAACTAAAATTTTTAAAAAATCTTGATTTAAGGATAACATAATAGTCAAACAGGACACAAACTCAGGACAGACAGGGATGAATACAGGTTTGGAATATCCTGCCTGGAAGAAGCTAGATTATTTTGAGAGGTATGGGAAAAGGAGCAACCTGAGCAAATAGGAGTGTCTTTAAGATGTTGAAAATATTTTTTCCTAAGACCTATATTCAAGTTCTGTCTACAGTGAGAAATAAAATACCAGTTTTTCAACTGTTATGTTAGTGGATAAATAATGCTAAGATTTTTCTCATTTATTGCATGGATATTAGTTTGTAGTATCTTAGTGGAGGATGGGGTTCTGCTAGAGTGCTAGAAGCACTTTCCAGAAAAGAAGATTCTTCAGGACTTGTGTTGAGTTTACAAAAGGGAGAGTTAGGAAGGAGAATGAAGGCTTAGTGTCTGAGCTGGGTATGTAGCAAACTGGAATGCTCAAGTGCCTGATAAATGTGCTAAGTGGTTTGAAATGGGAAGATGGCTAAAGACTACTGCTTGGTTTAAAATGTAGTTGCTTTACCATAAGGAAGAAAGAGCAAGAAGTCATTTGAAAGCAGTAGGTTTGCTTACCTTTTTGCAACATATGTATTAAAGCCATTTTCTGCATTAGGAGAATGTGCTCTAAACTAACTTGCATCCTAGATGCTAGAAAAGCCGTGTCTCCGCAGTGTGCACAATTCAAGTAAATAATCAACTGGAATAGGAAGAAGTTACAGGCTGGTGTATTGGGGGGGGGGGGG